TCAAGTAATATGCCCTGACTGACGCATTGAAGATGGTTTGTTTAATAGCAGGAATAAGGGTTGGCAAATCCGCATCACGGCTTCCGAGCTTTAGTACCGACACACCTTGAATTTGACTTGCCCTGACAACCGCGACCTGCGGGGGCGCGCGTTGGTGTACTTTTTATCGGAAACGCCACAGGTGTTTCCCTTTGCTAGCTGCGTTGCCGGGAGCGTGTGTCGGGTTTCTTCTGCGTACAGTCTCTCACCACTCGGATTTACTTGGCATAGCAATTGACTCATATTAAAGTTCGCAAAGGTAACCGATTTCGCAGTTTTACGTGTCTTAACCACGACGGACACGCTAAATTCGAGCTTGATTGCCAGCTCATCCAGCTGTGGACGTACAAACTATTTGGCACACACAAACCGTTCGAACATCTCCGCATCTTTCCTGCAACGACAAATTATAGCTAGGGCGACTCGGCTTCCTTCCTTCCGAGAAAGGCGCGTAGAGCTTTTTGAAGCCGCCCCATGTAGTCGTGCCCCATTCGGGATGTCTCACGCAGATAATATTGCGTTTTTGATACCATCTGGTTGGTCAACTATTCGTTGTTCGACGCGCCTCTTCTTCACCAATCCAGCAGCGTTTCCACTTCGCGAGCCATTCCGTTGCTGCCACTAAAATGCAGCGAGCTAGTTTAGTCTTGTCGCTAGCTATCAGAAACCAGCGCCTTACAGCCATTACTCGTTTTACGGTTATACATCCGTAGTTGTGCATTTATTCACTATATATATATATATATATATATATATATATATATATATATATATATATATATATATATATATATAGGGTGATTTAACAAGATTAACGTTCATCTCGAGAAAAAGAAAGATTCTTCAAAGCTGCCGTTTTTGACATTTCGACGCAAATGTCTTTTATTCTCTATTGAAAGGTTGTATAAAATTTATTTGTGTACAGACGTCTTAATTTTAGGAGAAAATATACTCGTAACTAGAAATAATTATGTAGATATTAATATCACGTAGGTATTTTTGAAACTCCTTCTGCTCTCAGGGATTCGGATGCACAACATTATTTCTATTGAATCAAACTACTTATTTTTCAAAGGAAACTGCGGTAGTCATTCATACATTGAAAAACCAAGCACATTAAAGAGCTGGTTCCTTTTACTACGCTTTCCATTTGAATAACGCTGTCGCCGCTTAGACAGTAGCAGTTTGATGGCCAACCAGTCGCGCGACATTTGCTCGCAGCAACTCATTTCTACCTCTAATTAGTGCATCTGCTGCCATGCCATTGTACCAAATGTAGGAAAAACAGTTTTAAGTAATTCGCTAGCCTACCTTAGTCAAAGTACGCTGAAGAAACACATGGCTCCGCGCAAATGAAGCTTAAGTTAAAGTTTCTTTAATTTTTAATGGAAATAACGAAATATTTTTAATACCATGATAATAATAGAAGTACAGAGGGAATATGCTACACGATTTCAGCTATATATATATATATATATATATATATATACATATATATAACTTACTATTTTATCTAGAGTAATATCTAACATTGATGCCAAAAGTCAAATCAGAAATTCGGGGAGTCGGCTACAAAAAAGCAAAGGTTTTGAATAAAATTTCTTCTATCAGATGTCTTTTTATGAGATATATGCAGTAGGGAAATTATGTTAGTTTTATTTTCAGTTATATGATTAGGCCTAGCAAGCAAAATCTACGGTTGCATATTCTCTTACTAGCTTGAGTACTACTACACATACATCATATGTCACCTCACCTTCTAGAAAAATCGCTTGTGGTTTTTGCATCGATGCGTGTGTACTGTTAGAGTCCGTAATAACGAGGAGAACCGTTCTACCAGTAGCCAACATTTCCTTTGTTGTTCCAGGCTCAACACGAATACAGAAAAACACAATCTATTACTTAAGTGAATTGTCGTCTACTTTTCCGGTGTATATCTTAGAGAATCGTTTTTTAACGTCGACTGCATAGCACTTACTTTTATGAAGAACATGTATTACGAAAAATCTAAACATTCATAGGCTTCCGTTCTCCACAGTCGTTTTTAAATAGCCCTTAAGTTTTACGAATGCAACGTATACCACCAACAATCGAGCAAAAAATATAATCCTACAGGAGCCTTTGATTAACTATACAGATATCGTTTTCGTCCCACGCATTGAAGACCTAGTTACATTGGTTTGATAGGGGTATGCTCGACTAATGGCCCGATCCAAGTCTATCACAATCTTGACTAACTATTCTATATCTAAAACAGATAAGAAACAATACAACCAGGTACGTTAAAATTCATTAAACCCGAAGTATTTAGGATACTTACATTTTCATTTTACTAAGACGAATATATATACGAGAAACATGTTTATCCTCATCGTACCATAGCGCGCAAACGTTTCGCGGGAATTGCACAGATTCCCGCTTTACCAAGGGGCAATCTTCCAGAATTTGTACAAATTCTACGATTGCTGATACGTCATAAGCATTTGTAAACTTCATCCACGACTTATTACCTAAACTGGCCACCGTCTGTCGCGGTAACTCGAACGGCCAAATATCGGACGCAAACCTAAAAGCAAGGACTTGAGTCCCGTGTTAAGGTACATGCGCTCCTTAAACTTGTGGATCTAATGTTAACAAGGGAACTACACGTTGAATCTAGAAGCTATTGATCCGCTTAAAAATTATTGTACAATTCTAAGTGCTACTTGGTTCAAGCTGTCCACCAATTTGGTGGAGGTGCTCTACCATCTTGTTAAATTGATAGGCACATTGAACACAGAGCCGTCAATTTTTATTTAGGTAATTTTATTTAGGTCGCCAAATTATTGACGTAAATCTACAGCTTCAACATAGAAACGAACTACCGAATGACACGAAGGACGTCGAAGGAAGTTTCCTTGTTTTTGCCGGTCTTTCACCTAAATAAAGTGAAACACCAGCCATGGAAAAAGGCGGTCAGTTAAGTTTGAAAGGAGAACACTTATGTAATGTTACGGTTTGTGTTTATGGTTTGGACATAACATGCGTTGATACCACGTTGATGATAAATAAAAAACCCCACACCAGATGCCACCGACCAAGCACTCCACTGGCTGGACATGTCAGCGTCCTTGTTTTCTCAAACTCAAATTGGACATTTCTCGAAACATAACAAAGTTCGTGCAATAAGCCGGCGACACCAGAAAATATCCATACGGCTGAATGTTTTGTAAATTTGTTTCATTTCCAACAGAGGTCTACTTCAAAAGCAATAAAATCAATAAACTGAATCAGTACTGTCATCGTGAGCATAGCTACCAGTGATAAATTCGGGATTATTCCCGCTATGTCATGGATAAAGGTTTGAACTGACTATTGAAGTCTTCAGTTTTCAGTGTCAAGAATACTAAACGAATGTCGATATTATCAAAGTATGCTTTCATGTTTCTCTTTACAGCAGTTCTACGACAAATTGATACAGACTACATCTAGAGATTACTAATACATTTACATTATAGGAATTACATTTACTTAACTACCTCCAGAAATGTCCTTTCCCAGAAATGAAATACGTTTCACAAACGAAAACTCTGAAGGTACCATAGCCTAAACAGGTAGTGCTATATTTTGTCTTAGCATTCATTCTTACCTATTGCCATGAAGATGTTCTAAAGAACAAATTGACTTGGAGAGACTCTTTGAAGAATCTTCATTAATTTAAAATTTTAAACCGTCATTGAATGTATCGTGAGCTAGTTCGTTTCACTTGATCAGAAGCCGAGTAATAATGATGCTCTACTTGATACAAAGTGAAATGTACTAAGGTCATAAAACATATTCTACCTTAGCGTTGTTAGGAAGAATTGACTTGAACAAAGCTACCGGAGAATCGTTGCTGAACCACTATACAATAAGAACCTTATTAGGTGATTTTTCATATTTAAAGGCTTAAACAAGCGATTTCTTTTTTATAGGCAGAAATTAAACCTTTTAAACCACCCCGTCGATAGCACAGTCTCAGACGATGTGCTAACAGTGTGTTTACCTGCGATCCTTATGGACATGCTAAAATTCAAAGACCTATGATTATTGACCCCACCAGCACAAATGGTCGTTTTTAGATTGCTCACATATTGTTTCAGGATATCCTCACGTTACTTATTCATTATTCTATACTTGGCTTAGGCTCTGATTCATCAAAGCCATTTACACCTTAAAGAGCTTTATACGTGTACATATTGAACATGATATGCACCTGCTGTATAATTTGGTTTTAAGCTTTCAGGGTAATAAACTTCATAATAAACCTTCAGCCGAAAACATTCTGAACCGTTTACTCTATAGTCTTATGTTAAGGTTAGCAATAAATCCCAGTCCATTTTTGCTCGCTATATACTACACTATATTATGATACATACCTCATCACCGCACAAAGACGCTGCCGTTTCCCATCCGCCACTTGTGTAGAACTTCCAAGAAACACCATGCTATTACCATCTGAAGACCTAACCATAGCTGATCATTTCCTTATGCAAAGTTCTACTTATTTTATACTTCAAATGAATTGATCTCTTAACGTCTGTTTATAACAAAAATAAATATTCTGTACCATACCAAAAAGTTTCATAGGAAACGATACATCTAAGAACGTATGCACACCAAAATCTAGCGCTGGCTCTTCTTTTCATTTAAATAATGTTATATTTAAATAAGTGTTAATATCATAACAGAAAAAAGTTAATTAACTGTAAACATCATGTAAAAATATACTCCTTCGTTAACAACAGAACAAAAAGCGCGTTTTCAAGCGTAAGGTAAAAACAAGGCCTTGACGCGTTATAGTCAGTATATAACTTGTGATAAGCAGCAACCAGTTATTACCAGCTGCAGATCTCTTTTAAGCTGTATTCCTCTTTATCTGCTTGGTTGACAAGAATGAATGTCTGATGTGTATTATGTACAGAACGCAAACATTACGAAAAACAATTATATTTATTACAACTTTGAATTGAAAAATTATTTTTCCTGACACTTTACTTAGATTAATTTTGTAAGTCAGAGCTTCATAATTCTAACTAGAATGTTCTTAGTTTCATATTGTGAGAATCAATATATGTAGCCAGCGGCTTGTTGTATACTTGAATTCTAAGCGTACTGTCTCTCACCTATTGTATACACATAATTTTATTGTTTTCTTAATCTTAGTGTTAACACAATATCTCAATAAGCTGAATAATGAGTATTAATTTAGAAAGTAGAATTAGCTATAATTATTAGAGAGGGTTCAACACAATCAAAATGCGTAAATTAAGAATGAATTTTATACGGCACCATAAAAATGACTGGATACCGTAGGCGTTCAGATTCAATGCCTAAGATGGATATATAGTGGTCATAAACGGGTAGGATCTTTTGATACAGCCTTCTGTTGTATAATCACTTCCTACGCACCCATGTCCACAGAGGCTATGAGTAAATGTATGGCAAACCGCTACAGCGAGCACCTCCACTATAACTAGCATATATGACTAAGTTCTTGTTAATAGAAGAAATGGTCATTTTGAAAACATTCTATATGAAAACGGCGATCGATGACGGTCACGAAGCCCATAGATACACTTGAGAATTCTGCCTATGGAGCTTTGCAGGCCGTAAATTTCATAGGAAATGGTATAAGAGTACACGATGACGCACGCGAAGATGCACACATCGGTACGAAGCCTGTCATTGTCATCATAATACTGAGGATAACCTATCGGACAAGATGTCATTAGGACCAAGACTGCACGCCAGGAGGTTAATTTGCAATATATCTGAAAGATAGTAGTACCTCGTGAAGTTCTCTGCGAACACCTACTTAGCTCAAACTAACTATATTAAATATATTCTAAAATTTGTTGCTTGTGATCAGTTTGTCCGAGGTATATGGACATCACTCGATGTCATTTCAATTTGCCACTTTATGGTCATTAATACATTTATTGCACCTATTAACCGTATTCAAATTTTTTTGTTAGACTGTAATGATTTCAGTTATTGTGGGCGATGTACAATAGCGGCGTCGATCTCATGGCGTAGGCTCTCTGGAACTGTGAAAATGATATCGCAATTTTCGACCAGAAACGTCATGAACATGGCTGTCTGCTCGAGATTAGTGCGAAGAGCGCCGACCAAGCACGTGCTGAATTCATCGACAAGCACGTCGTGGTTCGAACGTTTCTCGTCAATTACCAGTAATTTATTCTGACCAACTTTATGTATAAAACGTAATAGCAAGTGGAGTGCCCGTCGGTTTTTGGGGGAAAGCACCAAATAAAGATGCTGTAGTTGGCGGACTACGAGCTCTTTGCTATTAGCTACCTCCCTACACGCTCGTACATTAGCCTCCGAAACGGTGCTAACGCCTGAGCTTAGGCTTGATGAGCTAGCAGAAAACGCTGAATTAACGTAACAACCCATCGAACTACCAATTCGTCGCACGCTGGCTGCTCGAACACAGGTTTGTACAAGTCGCTCGCATTGATACTGAATGGGTCGCGGCATTGTGCTTGGAGTTTGTGACCCGAAACGTGGCAGTGGGGTTCTAAGCGCTGTTCGTGGTAAAATCTTCGTTTCGGGATTAGCCGTAACAAATGCCGTCTCATATTGAAGCGAGACCGGCATTTCAGGCTCTTGGAGAGTTGACATAAGCGGTGCAAAAGCCACTATCGACAGCTCATACAGAGTACGGGGCAATATTAATTGCTTGCAGAAATGCTCCCGAACAAGTTTCAGCGTCTCCCGACGGAAGTTTGTATAGTTTGCGTAGTCCGGAGCCCACTCTGGCCACTTGGCTAAACATTTCATAGCTTGCATGACCAACATAGGGACATCGTCGTCCTTTTTCCTCGGAAGGACAATGCCTGAAGCGCTGACTTGACATATGTTATGGCACACTTCGACTGCTGGGTAATCTGTGATGTGTAACGAAAAAGCTTTCAGTATATCAGTCTGTGCCCTGAAACGACCAGGTACATTGACCGTCCCTGATGTAATGTGGCTGTGCATAATATGCTGTCCCCCAGAAGCAAACAGCTGTTGCAATCTTCGCCATAACAAATGTCGGGATAGTGATGATAGGTCTGAGAGAAATAAAAGCTCCTTAGAGGACGCGGAAGAGGTGGGTGACAGAGCTGGTGACGCTAGGGATGTTGGTGCTGATCCACCGTGTAACAATAAGTGACGGCCAGGATTCTGCGAGTGCTTTTGATACTGGTGTTGATTGTGGTGAAGCTGCCGCTGCTGCTGCTGATGATGATGGGATTGAAGGCGATGTGGCGTGACAAGCCGAGGATGGACAATATGGGAGTAGACTGCTGGCGTTGATGACGATGATGAGGTAGCGGAAGACGAAGAGGATACGTTTACTCCATTAGAGCTGTCATGTTGACTATTACAACCACCGTTAGTGTGATCATTCGCGGTAGAGCCACTATCAGCAATTGGCTGTCGAAATGTTATCGTGTAGTCACCGATAGAATTTCTAAAACGCCGTATCGGATCCGCATCGGTACAAGATGGATTTGATAATCCACTAAATGGGGCCATGTTTTCTTTATTGAACATGTAGAGATGGGTACTTGAATCCTTGAAAGTAACGCTCCGACCTCGAACGTCCTGAATAATCTTTTGCTCAACGAACTTCTGCATTAGCAGCGCCACTTTTTCTCGGTTTACTATTTGGCCGGCAGAAAGAAGTAAGTCACTGTTTCGTTTAAGATAATCCAACGTCCAAGAAACTGCTTCACTGCCCGAAAAGCAATTATCAAATGTTTTCAAGCCCTTTCGACGCTTTCTGACAGGCATTTCAGCCCGAACTGCTGCAACGATTGTGTTCCACACTTTTGTTGCACGGAACTGATCTGGTGTCGACGAAGCATAGTTTGCATTGTCATCCATTGTCAGACGGGTATTCACTATTTGATTATGCTTTTTATCCTCTATGTAACGATAAACGTGAATATACGGTTTCAGCAAACGCTACAATTAGTCATACGATGATATCGGTGTATCCAAGTGATTCAGTCGTTCTAAAGAGTCGAACAGCACAACGGTCACCGATCGCTGTGATTCATTCAGGATCTTTCCTTTTACAACAAAGTATCCCATCAATAGAACACGAATCAGACATAAATTAATATTAACTGTCACAATATTCACAACATTCGCACATGAACTCTGAATGCTTTGCACAGGGCAAAGCTCGATTCATACGACGGTTTTACTAAATACATCGACGCACCGCTCTTCATCCTTTATACTATGGGATGCGTCAAACAGCAAACCTCATCGCGGGTAGTTGTATAGCAACCTTCGCAGCTATCTCAGCTGGGGTCTACTGGTTTTGAATCCGGTCTCGCTTACGCCCTCTCTCCGCCACGCGCCACCAGAGGGAGACAGCACCGGTCCGGGAGAGAGCGAAGCTTCATCTCGGCGCGGCAAAATTTGAATGTAGCCAGAACAAACCGTAGTAGGCTAATATTGCGGTAGCCACCGATAGAATGGTGATGAATAGGCCGCTTCTCAAATTGAAAGAAATACATATGCCTTTCTATATTTAGTATGAAGAGAAGAAAAGTCAACCGAAAGTGGAAATTGAGAGAGATAGAGTGACCTCTTTGAAGCTCTACATTTACGTTTCGAGTTTTTACGTCCGGTGTCGCCGTTAGGCATTTCATCACACGGCTGGCTCCCAGCACAAAACAAACTCTGGTTATGCCCGGGTTCGAACCTAGGCCACAACGTATCCTAAGATTTGCAAGCAAATACGCTAATCACTACGATACCGCGGGGAGATCTGTCCACATTGATAACATATTGCGTATTCTATAGCTAGTAAACGAACGGTGACAACACAAATATTTACTTATCAGGTTCCGCTTCATTTATAGGACATAGTTGTATCCCTGTGATAATAATAAAACGAATGATGATATTTGGTGGACTTTGATGTACATCTTTACAAGGGCCTACGGCAGAAAAAATTAATATAGATTACTGATAGGTGAGCGTACCATGTAAGCGCTACCATTTTTCTTACAACTAGGCTCATTTTATTCCCAAAGAAAATATTGTTAGTACGACGTCCATAAACGGACACAGGACTGCACGCTGACATAAAATCCGGTATGCAGACTAATTCAGACGACGAATGAGAAAACGTCAAAGTAAATCGATTAGCAACAAATATAGTGGATCAAAGTTAATAATAATGATAAATAATAAAATAGAGCGAGCTATATAAAATAAAAATGAAAACAGTAGAGCTAAATACTCATAAGGTAACATGCGAAGGCGACGAAGATCTTGAGTACTGGATTGTACTTGCCATCAATGTGTCATCGGCACACAAATAACTGTCACAGCCTTACAGTGCCGTTGATAGACTTAGGACTGCAAATTTCAAATGACAAAACAAAAGTGAGAAAAAAGCGACGGATTTTCAAACTGTTCTATCATATAAACAGCCAAAATAGATTAGCACCTCACGCTAAAGCTATTTCCCATTCTGAACAGATTAGTCATCATTGTTTAAATGGAGGATCAAGTGATGTGATCTATTCTCCATATATTTGTGTCAAACAAATATCTTATTGACAATCCTTAGCATCATTTCGACATAAAAAAAAAAAAAAATATATATATATATATATATTTTTTTTTTTTATTAAAGTAGCAAAAAATAATGATTTCATTGTAAGTTGACTGGGGTCGCAAATAGGAATGACGCAATATATGCCGATGACGTTTCTACCGCCCCATAATGTAGGAGTCTGTGCTAAAGAAGATTTATGGTTTAACTTTTGCGAAAGCATTCATTATGTTAACTGAATTAAAAGCAGAACTTCAAATTATTCGACATATTCATTTAATTTTCTTAGTTTTTTTTCTACTGAAGAAAACAAAGGTTACCTGCAAAAAATCCGATGGCGTTTTTTCTGCCCGTCTGCTACTGCTGGTGCTCCCGAAATATTCGTGCGATTATACTCGACTCTAGATAATTGCATTTTCTAGCATAGAGGGAAAGGCTCTCT